TATGCGCAAACAAATTATAATATTTGGTAGAGTGGAATAATATAAATCAACTAATAATAAACATATATATATATATATGTAGAAAACATGAATAACTACGCTTACTTACATGCATAACACTTCCAAAATATTCAGTCATGAATCTACATATTTTAGGGGGGAAAACCATTTCCAATTTTAAAAAAAATTGTTTTTTTTTTCTTTAAAAGTTAGTTCAGTATGACTGGAATCCAAAAAATTTTATGGTTTAGACTAAAATTCAAAACTTTTCGAGATAGAGCCAATTTCCGAGATCCCGCCTATTCACTGATATGAGAGAGCCGAGCCCAAGTATACGAATTAGAGAGCATCGGGAAGCGCGATCTAAAGAAAAGTACGGAGTCAAATACGGAAATTACATTGGAGATGGCAATTCCAAGACGTTTAAGGTAATCTTAGATCTAAATCCATACGGTGATGATTTTACAGTTGTGCAAGTTGAATGCGTTGGTCACGTTGAAAACTCTGGACACTCTGCTGACGAACGCTAGAAAGTTGCATAAACTGTGAGGAAAAAAAAATTAACCCACGCTTTGATAAAATAACTCCAAACATACTATGGTTTAGCTATTAGACGTAATTAAAACAAGGCTGAGGATATGAAAAATGCATTAAAGGTTACTTATTATTATTTGCCATCAACAGATAAAAATCCAAGACACGAGTTTTGTTCTTCTGGAGAAGATAAATGGTCCAATTGGAAATATGCTGAAGCTATTGGAGTAAACAGCAACATCATAAAGCATCCTGCATTTCTTCACCCTGATGTACAGAAGTATATTCTACCGATATATAATGATTTAAATAGTGATGAGTTATTACGCAAACGGAGGCCACATAGGATGTCAATGAAATTTTCAACGTGACTATTTGGAATTTAACTCTTAAACACCTTCATTGTGGCTTTAAAATTGTTGAAATTGTGGCTTATTTAACAGCATTTATATTCAATGAAGGGTTATGTTGAATCCTAAAAGTTATACAAGAATTGGAGCTATAAATCAACAAACAAGCTGTGGATTACACAAGCAAAGTTGATGAGCGTCGGGTCGTTCATCGAGAAAGGCGAAGAAAGAAATTTTACGATACTGAAACTTCCAACGCGTTTTTCTTATATATTTTTTTTCACATTTTTTTCGGTACCAACGATTGCTCAGAGACTATTCAACCGATTAGGCCAAAATTTTGTACACGTTTGCATAACATATCAGAGCACTAGGTAAACTCAAAAATGTTAGAAATTTTTTAAAATTAACAATTTTTTATTATCGGTGAAAAAGAGAATTTTTTTTAAATATTGCCATTTATATTTTATATCTTCCATTTCTATAATTTTCAACTGCAACGGTAGACGATTCGATAAATCGATCTGTTCGCGATTCGTGTACTCGCGATGTTAATTCGAACGACTAAGAGAGAGAGAGGGGGGGGGCGCGCGAGGATTTGAATATTCAGTTAATCCTCAGCTGCTTTCGCGAGAATACCGCCAATTTGTTTTGCACTGTGTTTCGCCGTTTCTTATAAAGTTTTCCTGGGACTATTTTATACGTGCATGAGTGCAGCAATCAATCAGCAGCAGCAGTAGTACAGCAGTGGCAAGCAGCAGCATTATAGCAGCAGCAAAGAGCAGCAGATTTGAGAAAGGCAGCGCAGCTGATCCAAGGAGCATCTTTGATTCTCATCATCAATTACGGCTGATCACCGTAATTGTACCGCAGGGTAGGTGCGATCTCCCTTTATTATTGCGCGACAAAATACTTTCGAAAGTATTTTATCAATCGCGAGCGTAATTTTTGTATTCGCGCCGAGCGTTAGATTTCGCGGCAATTTTCGAATTCTCTCTGTCTCTCTCTCTCTCACCGGATTATAATAAATAATTTTAAATCCTATTCGCGTGCGTTAGTCTTTCGGCCCATAAAAGACTGTAGTTTTTCGTTAATCAAACTTTGTTAATTTTATTCGTCGTTTACGTCATTTCGTTTCCTATTAGTTTAATAGATCTATAAAGTCTTAAGTCTTAATCCAATTTTGCCTAGGGGATTAGGCGGATTATGCATTAAGTCATTCATACTGGAGATAGATCGAGTGTCACAAGTCAAGTGACTTAAGGTGAGTTCAACTCGGTTGGAAAGAAGACACTTAAACGAAATCATCAAACGTAAAGGCGAATACACGTATAACTCTACGTGTTTAACGAAGCGGCGGTTAGCTCTGCATCGTGGGAGTTTGTGCGTTAATAAATTTCTCATTTTGTAGGATAACCATCCCGTTACACAACTTCTTATCAAATAATTAGGTTTATTGAGTGACTATAAGTATATGTTGACCGTACCTTTTTGCATTTCTGTTTCAAATCTATTTTTACGGCGCTACACTTGGTATCATAAAAAAAATGCTTTTACGACCATGTAGGTCATTATGGAACATTTCCGTAAATTTTCAATATTTTTATATTTAAAAAAATGTAAAAATTTCTTTAAGATAAGTCTAATAATCTGTAAAAATTTCAAAAAGATCTATTCTTTTCTTTCTCTTCAAAAAAATTTCGAAAAAACCACTCAATTATAACGTTCTAAATGGTTTTCTCCCTTTAACATATGTATGACAGCAGCAACAACAACAACAACAACAAAATGTTCTTAAACTCGAATTTTACCAAAATAATCAACACAAACTTTGATTTGTTTTACAGGTTCGTGGCATTTGATTGATCAGCTTGATTAAAACATCTTCTTCAATGTTTTTTGATTTTTTTTGCAATTTATCCCACAGATCGTTTTTGTTTCATAGATGTTCATCTCTATTACTTCTATCTAACAAGAAAACGTTTCCAACCCTTCGCCTCCGATTTTGCTGCGATTTGGATGTGTCACCGCTTATTGAAAAATGAAAGTTACGTGTTTTTTTATTGGCGGAAAAAATGTCCTAAGAGATGGAAGTGACCCTCGAAAATCACCTCTCAGAGCACTTTTATATCAATATTAATTGAATCGAAAAATATTGATAGTAAACTGCTCTGAGGGATGATTTTGAAGGGTGGCTTTCATTCCTAGAAAACTTTTTTCGCCGATAAAAAAAATACGTGTTTTTTATTTTTCAATAAGCTGTAACACATTCAAATTGCAACAAAATCGAAGGCAGAGGGTTAGGAACGTTCTCTTTGCTTATGTTAGTGATCCCATAAATATTTGATAGGATTGCAGTCTGAACTTTGAGAGGGTCACTTCGTGATTTGAAGACATTTTTCTTTCTTTGGATTGTAAATGATTATAACAGTTTTGACTATGCTTTGAGTTATTATGTTGCTACATTGTAAGATTTTTCCCAACAAGTTCAGTACCAGACGGAATAGTATGAAACTTCAAAATTTTGTGATACACTTTATTATCTATAAACTCATCAATTTTTACCAAATCACCTACTGCAGTTTCAGAAAAACTATTATCGAGCTATTCCCATACTTAACTATTGAAATAATGCATAGTGTACTCATCTTTTCATATACTTATTGACGTACATACACGAGGCGTTTTGACGAAAATAATTTAAATGGTATCTTTTTATCCAAGATAATCTTTTCTGTTGTTGACTATCCTCAAGAGAGGTTTCTTAGTTGCTACACGTCCACTGAAACTAACACTTTGAAGACACTGTTGATTAGTTGAAGATGCCACAAGTACAGTAGGATCAGCTAGAATTAGTTCATTACTTATTTCTCTCGCCGTTTTCAAACGATCTTTATTTATTTTGCAGAATAATATGTTTATCATCCTGTGCAATTGCTTTACTAAGGTCGCCTACACGAATACGACTCCACATGTCAAGTCCTTGCTTAGATATTTTTCACTGTTGAATACACTGGACTATAAGAAATATTTAACTCACCACAAATAGTCTCGTATGAAAGTTTATGCTGCAGCAATGTAATAATGGCAGATTCACGTTCACAGTATATGAATATTTTCATTTCCAAACATTTATAAAATTGAAGCAAAAAGTATTGTGAAAAACAATTTTTTTTTATAGTTTGAAATATTTTTTTCCCTTATTGCTTTTATCAAATGTAACATACTTTTTCCTTAAGATTTTTTCTTAAAATCCATAGCTTATTAAATAAAAAATATTTTCCGAAAGAAATTTGTTTTTGTGAAAAACTATGTAACTAACAAAAATTTGGAACATTTTTTTTAAAAGCGCTTAAAAATACTTTATAATCGTATTCATCCTATTAGAATAGATTAATTTTTCGCAGAGATGTAAAATTTCAAAGAAGCAACGAAATATAGTGACATTTACGAAATTGGAATACAACGTACTAACAACTCAGAATGTTGTACGAAAAAACACCAGAAACACTTGTTAAGACACGTAAACAGAGCTTTAAAATAAGCTGCAGGTGAGTCTTCTATGATGTATCATTCTTAAGATATCGAACTCTTACGATTAACATTTATTTTTATTGGTGATCTTAAACTTTTGACCGGTAGTGTGTGTAGCAGCAGATTTATGGTATGATTAATGATGCTTTTAATGATTCAAATTAATCAAAATCTTGTTTTCAGATAATACAATGTATTTTGTTATAGAACTCCTCTACAAGACGTTTTTATTGTTACATATTAATTTCGATATAATAATAATAATTTTCATTACGAATAAATGAAATTAACGGCTCAGATAAACTTCTAAATATCTGATATAAATGTGCAGTTACATAAAAAAATAAATAATATAAACTCAATTTAACAATGTATATGAATTTATGATATCATAGCGAGAAAACCAATGAATATATTATAACAAAAATCAGGCATACAGCGATTATTGATGGAGTTATTTCATGTTTTAATAGTATTTATATTTATAACATTATAGATTTTAACTCGGAAGCATACTTTCAGTTCTTGATAGATAATTTATTATTATTTATCCTTTATATAAGTCAAATTTATACTTTTCAGATTCTACTAAATTCTTCGGCTAATCCAAAGTCAGCAAAAAAGAAAAAAAGAAAAGCAGAAAAAAATTCATCTGAAGATATATTAACAAATTCCAGTGGGAAATAATATGAATAAGAATTCTAAGAACAGGATTCTACATAATCTGTAATAAATTTTTTATCAATAAAATAAATTTGTTTAAATTATTAATGCAGTAGTATTTGTACTTATATACCTAATTAATCAAAAAATTAATAAAAATAAAAATTATAGATTTGGTATGAGGATGTACATTAACGTAAAGTATTTCATTTGCGCTAATACGATGACCATAATAAATTACAATATTATAATAAGTTTTCGCTAAAATATAATTATTGATTTATCACATATCAGCTGAAGGTACTTACAATGTGAATATGTAATAACGATGAAAATCATTTCAATGCTCGAGTTTGTAAGGCTTCTTCATATTACAACCTTTAAAAGTCAACTAGGGTTTTTCAAGCCTTAATTGTTATCTATTCTGATTTAAGAGGCAAAGTAAAAGTCACACTGTTTTTTCCAGTGATGTTTATAGCTAGAATAAACAAAAAAAATCTAAAGTTACTTCACTGAACACATAGCTTTGTAATGTTGGGTAAATGTGCGCTAGTCGGCTTGCTGTTCTCCGAATATTTCAGTGGCTCCATTTTAGTGGCTGACACATAAATATGGCCGGTGCTCCGCTCGATTGTAACCGTCGCGTATTGTCATCGTTGTGCACTGATGCTCCTTAATACTTGCGACCTCAGATCAAGTAAGAAGGTGTGTTTCACCTGAATTTGGCTATTGGTAACGATCCTGAGTATATTAGTCTTGGTGTGAATGTCGACGTCGTTGTCAACAGTCGTTGTAATGTGCAACATATGAAAAATGTACAAGAACATTGACACTATCTCTGCAAGAAGACCATCCTATCCATGATGAACTGTATGAACTCGCCGAAGAAGTTCATTATCTTCCGTGCGTAAAATAAATCTGCTAACAATGGTTTTGCGTTACATCTATTACGCGAGTTGCTATTCTCGGTTCCTTGCGTGGCTTTTCCGTGTCGATACTTCTTAACCAATCGACTGTTAATCGACCCATTGGCCGTAGAAAATTACAAACTGTGTGTATCCGCCGCCAATCAATCTCCGCTGTTATTACTTATATTAAAGGCGAAGTGTTGTGTAGAAGATTACTTCAATATTGTATTGCTGTCCGAATGCTATATCTCTATCGTATCCTGTAAGCTCTCATCCAGATGTTCTCCCCTCGAAACGTGTTTGTCTGGGATGGCCGCCTGTTAACGCTCTTAACCCGAATCGGCACATCGTTCGAGACAAAGTTCAAAGGATAGAGTAATGGAGTATTCTCTGGTAGCTCTCGTGAAAGGAACTTATGAAATATACGGTTTTGGAGAGTCTCTAGTTTACTCATAGTGCAAATCAGCAACCTACTTGCACAATTGCTCCGTACTCGGTGCAAGTATACCAGCTAACCATAAACACACTTCGAACACTAAAACTCTGTAAAGTTATAACCGTTATTGATCCTTACGTCAGTGCGTTCTCGAATTACCGACCTGATAACAACGGATTAACCGACAGTTGCCTCTCATTAAGTTAAAAATTTCTGTTACATTGATCATTCTAACTGTAAGCCAATTTTAAATTAATATTCACTCAATTATTTAACTTCACCTTTAAATAATCCAATGAAAGTCATTCATTGCTTAATTGCCTAAGTTTATAGCCAATAAATTATTTATATGTAGACTTAAAATGATTGAAGGCACTGTAGCTATTAAACTTCTGTCGTGTAATAGAAGCACATGCATATATAATATGAGAAATGAAGGGAACCGTCAATAAAGAACACCCTGATTTATCTCAAGAACAATGAAAGGACACTTTTATTTATATGTACAAGCTACTGTGTGCATATATAAAATTACAGTCGAATCGGGCAGACTCTAATGCTACATAATTGCAACTCAGAATGGACAATTTACATCCTGCGCACTTTTTGGTATAAAAATTTTATTTCCAAGTTCCGTTGTGAAGATAGCCAATAAATGTCCGCGAGTATTATTGTAAATTAGCAGTAGTATTACAGATGAATCCGTACATTCATGATGACACTTATGCACATATTGTACAAAAGAGAGAGAGAGAGAGAGAGAGAGAGAGAGAGAGAGAGAGAGAAACCTTTGCTATAACTAATTCTCGCTCTGCACGGATCCGGCAGTTGGAATGATGAAAATGGGCGTCGGGCGTCTTGTTATGTCGATCTCTGTTGCAACGGCGGTGCGCTGAGAAAAGCAGTCAACCACCTCTTTCGAGTACCTTGATGTGGTTAACATGCAACCGCATCGAGATTGCCAGTTGTAGGACGTGATTGTCGCACGTACCTTTTTCGGTGATAGCACGTACGTCAGTCACAAAATAAATAACTTCTCTTAAGATTCAACAAATACTGGCACATGACGTTATAGATAATCCGCTCCTCCTATTCTTGGTCTCTCTCTCCCTCTCTCGTACTCGTCAACTAAATAAGAGTCAACCCGACAAGCTTTTAAACACTTTACATCATCAAAAATCAACTATCCCTCTCATATAAATCTTTACATATACTATTTCAATTTAGCTCCGCCTCAAATTTTAACTCATACGAATCTTCTTTCTGCTTTCCTAATCATCTCTACATTTGATCAAGTTGCTCTAGTATGCACAATCAAACTGTCCTCCAAGCGCAAGCCTTGGATTTTCCCACAATAACTGGTTACGTCTGCTTAACAGACTATCGGTTACTAAAATTGATCTTGATAGGTTAAATGAATTTAAATCCTGGTCCCGATCCTTGCTTCACATCATGAAGAGACTAAACTGGTACTTCAGAGTCTACAATGAAAACCTCACATCTTTCTCCTTCCTTAAATTTTTGCCTTGTTTAACCCTTTTATTTCATGCTTCATCTTTTACTTATAATTCTGATTATCTGCTTATTTCTGGTCGATACCTAAACTCAAATTTTTTTATCTCAATTCTACATACAGCTCACCTTTCTGACAAACTTTAATACTGTCCCCCACTTCTTTCCTTTTATATCTCCAAACTAATATGTAATTATGTCATTCACTTTATTAAATACACCCAGAATGTAATCAATTAACAGTCGACTTAATTGTATTCTATTTAACTATTAGTAACTCTGTTGTTATTTCGTATAACTCTCTATCATCTATCTCTTGATTATAATCGAATCTACTATTATTATTTTGTGTTATTTGATTACTTACGCATAATCTTTGTAATGAACACTGCTATGCATTTTATATGTTTTATTATTTACTACTTTGTCATACCATAGAGCTTTACTTTGTATTCATCACTTCTATTGCGATTTAATTATTATTTTAAATATAATTTATATTTATCTCATCACCAGATAGGGTATTACCGTAAGGTGTTAATAAAAAATTTAATCAAGTCAAATTTCTTTCTCTCTCTCTCTCTCTCTCTCTCTCTCTATCTCTCTCTCTGATTTTTTCAAAACCTTTGACTGCATCCCTTACTCTTTGCTCTTGGTAAAATTTGAAGTTCAACATGGCTAATGTCACCTTACGCTGGTTTTTCTTCTATTTGACTGGTCGGAACTAAGCTGTAATCGATGTTCCAGAATCTATTTCCTAATAGCTTAGTGCGATATCTGGAGTACCACAGGGCAATGTTCTTAGCCTACTCCTTTTTTTCTTTATAAATGACTTGCCCAGAGATCTGCCGTTCGCCAAAGATATGATCTTTGCCAATGACACTTCGATTTATCTCCACTGTAATATGTCTGATATTGGGCTTAGGATTGAGAAAATGTCATACACAGACTGACCTACTAGACGAGCCAAAACGGACTCGTTTTGAACGTCAAGAAGATCAAGATGATCATGCTGGGCAGCGAGCAGAATATCTCTCTTCTACGAATCATCAGTTTCCTCCCGCGTCACTCTCTCCGCATTTCTCCAATAAAGCATCATTAGAAGAGTTACGACTCACTCCATGCTTTGAGATTCCATCGGAAGTCCATGTCCGTTCAGCGTAAGAAGAACCTAACCGAGGCACTTCTCTTCCTACATACACTTCACGAATGCTTCCAACATCTTCAAGGATCTCGATAATATATGTGCATTAGAGCTTCAAGTCATTCAAAATGCCTGCGTATGCTTCGTTATTAGCTTAATCCATTTCATGACCACTTGCAATGTTACCTCTCATGTGACTTATAATAGACTTAAACTTAAATGGCTTTTTCTAGACGCCTTTTGTAACCTTGCTCTTGCATGTCTCTACTGTAAGCTCGTTTCAAATGGTAGCCCTCCATATTTGGCTACTCATATTGTCCGCCTTGACAATTTTTCTATTATCCGTAGGTCCACTAGAAATCTGCTCATTGCTTTCCATTTCTCCGTCTCTCATTCCGAGGCGTTCTTTTGCTATTCATGGAATGGACATACTTAAAAATTAAATGTGACCGATTTCTCGATAGACAAGCTCAACGACTTCAAACGCTGGCTATTTTCGCTGTTTTCTTTCCTTAAGCTCTTGTCACTTGAGGGCAACTTATCTTTAGAGGGCGTAATTTATTGCTCAGCTCTCAGTCTTCTCCTCAAAATTTATCGCCCATTCAATCTGTGTGCCTTTGCCAACTCTATTCTCTATCTTTCAGTATCTTCCACTACCTCCTCCCGTATAATACTAGGGCCATTTTAAAAAGATAGCTCAAGTCATTCTTCTAACTACTCTCATCCGTCTGTCGTTTTCTTTCCTTTCCCATGAGTTTAAACTTAATCTAGTTAAATTTACTCTTAATCTTTCTTAGATTTAAGTTTATATCCTGCGTTAGATTAAGATTATTATTATTTTATTTCGATTATTTTTTTTCACAATTTGTATAGCTGACCTTTACATCTTTCAATCGTCCAGCCACCATACTAAAATGTCCTGCACCTCAACATAGAAATCGTAAGAGTAAAAATAAATAAACGAAACCAAAAAAAAATTCAATTCTATTCGTATTCAATGAACACCTACATATAAAAATTATGATTCTTCTTTACGTACCTATTGACTAACAGGTTCAGTATCAGTGGGCCTGAGTCTCTGAATTCTCTGGGTAGTCCTATGATCTCCAATTTATTTCTTAACGAGATCGGACTCCGCATTGAATAAAGCCGCCTCCTCTCAGGCTCGGTACGCATGACGATGGTGAGTAATGCCTTAACGGTGGTATCAGACTACAGAAACCTGCAGTCGGCAGAAACGCGTGCATCACCTCTGAACGAAGGATGAGAAAAGCCATTGGTCTCTCAAATACCGCTCATGACGGCAATTATGACAACCGTCTGCTCGAAGATCGTCCCATGACACATCGACTACCTGTTAGTACAGACCGAAGTCTGAACGTAACGAAACATTTCACCTGATTATCATTTCAGCAGTCTGTGGATTCTTCGAATGTCTTTTGGGCCCTTTTCCATTCCTAGAGGATCCTGGTCATGGAACGAAACGCAGCCGCACATGGCGGGACAAAACCATTCAAGCGACTTTAGGTTTTACACTGTGACTCTTTCGTGATTGTTATCTTCTCGAGGTCTTCGTTTTCCGATAAAATGTCTGTTTTTGGGCTTTTCAAGTATCAGATATTTATCAAGAAAAATCTATCGTATTTGAGTGTATATAATGACTATACGTATACATCATGCACACAACGATCAGCTGGTCGCTTGACGTCCGAAATATCTTTTATATAACTCACACGCATGCATATAAGTATCACGTAGATTTTTAATAACAAAACATACACAACAAGAAGTAGCGGTATTAATACAAATGTTACTTAAATTAATAATTTTACGATGAAAATGGAGTTTAGAAATAAAAGAAACAAAAACAACGTTTTGTAAATTTTATTTATTTTTTATCGCAGTACGTTCTACTGTATAATGTGGTAAGAAATGAAATTAATAAATACAGTAAATATTGGAAAAACAATACTCTATGAACTCTAATTATTTCCATCAAGAGAAATACTTTTATATGGATTGCACGTGCCATATATGTAAAACTTCCAACTTACCATGTGAAATCATTATTTATGCTAATCGATTTACTAGATCTGTAAAAAAATATATAAATTAAGAAGTTTTATTAATTTTATTAATTTAAAAAATATTTATTGAAAAATTAAATAAATAAAGGTTATAAAATCAGTTTTTGTCTACACGGTGTTTTAGAATATGTGCAACATAATCTACTGGTAAGTGACATCGATCGCTTCTTAAAAACAACTCTGTATTTTTGTTAGTAAGTGAATTACTAATTACTCTAAAAAATATCTTAAGTAGTCACCTGATATCTACTTCATTTATGTCATACTTTGAAGACTTAATTTTTCAATTTTACATTTTTTTAGATCAAGGGTTTTTTTTGATTGACAAACCTGAAGAATGATAAGGTAATTCTGATAAATGATTTGTATTTCAGTTACTCAAAATTCATTGAAATACATCATATACTTGGATTATATACTGTTGTTTTATACTAATATAAAAACACTTTATGTTAAGTTTTTAATAATATTTGATTATGAAATTATTCGACTTTTTTGGGACCCCTGTAGTTTTTGCACAATAATAAATATTTATTGGTTATTCTCGAAAGTATAATATTATTACAGGATTTTCCACAACTTGGTATTTTATTGAATGTGATTTTTTTATTAATCTTTTTCAGATAGACAACTTCTTAGAAAATGATAGAATGGATATTTATTTATATTGTGTAACGAAAGCTCGTTCGTTATCAATTTTAAGGTGGGCAAATGAGACGCATTCGCTCATAGCAATCAAGGCGGGAAGGGGGGGGAGGTAAAGAAATGAAAGTGATTAAGGAATTATACACACAACAAAATTCGCAATAAAATCAAATCTAATTCTAATTAAATCATAGTCAAATTACACTTAAACTTCGCAAATACCGTACATTAACAAACCGCAAAATAGCACGAACTCTTAACCTAACGAACACAACGTTGTTGCGAATACGTCTTAACACTATAAAACACAACAGTGTTCTTAACACCTTTTACAATAGAGAACAAAGAACAAATTAACTAACTTATCGCGCTTACAAATCTAAACGATATACAGAACGCGTCACTCTGCAGATGACCGCCATGATGACTAACCGACTTAGCCTTCTTAAACTAAAAGAGAAAGCCGCCCGGCGAGGGATCGCCTGGACGATTCTCTACCCGAACAATTCATGTCGCCGACCGTAATTAGGGCAGGTAGGCGACATGTGCACACCTTGCTACCTACCTGACCCTTATAATTACGCGCTGTGCCATACCGCTGAAGAGAAAGAGAGAGAGAGAGAGAGAGAGAGAGAGAGAGAGAGAGAGAGAGAAATAAATTAGATTGCGAGCCTTGACCTTCAATACAGAAACGGGAGGCCTGGCTGCGCCCTGTGGACGCTGTTGCTGGCCGTCGCTGGGCAACTCCTGCTGGCTTCTTCTGGTAGCGTCCCGAGCAGATCCTGGAACAAGGCACTAGTCCTCTTCCTCTCGGTCCTCCTCGGCTCCTTAGTGGCGTGTGCGTTCGGCTGACCCTTTGTTCTCAACTGCACTTTCGACTCTGCACCGCTGACCATCTAAACCGTCTTAATAGCTGATTGACTGGAACCTTCTGACTGACTGCTCGACTCACCGGTAGTGACGCTCGTTTTTTCTTCCGCTTAATCTACTTATTAGGCGGCGAGCGACCAATGTGCTAATTGGTTCGCGACGCGCGTCTCCCTAATCTTGCGTGGGGCATGCACGCCCCTAACTCTCTCTCTCTCTTTCTAACACCTCTATACTCTGTCATCAGCGTAATAGCTTCGGGCTGGTAATTTCCGTCGGCTGAAACAAAGACCATGCATTAGGCGCATTCTTAAATGCGCCTAACGCTGGTCACCGTGCTTTGCTAAGAGAAAGGGGGAATTGGAGAAAATACCGACGAGAACAAGCAATGCTTGCTCTCGTCACAATTGATCATTCATTACGCATTTATATAATAATTATTAATAATAATTCATTAGTAGTAATATACCAACATAAAAAAATTGAGTATTTATATTTGTGATCGATATCAGTTAAAAAATTAGTTATATATAAATTTATAGCCCAAGAACCGTACACGATATAAGTCTAAATACATTACACAAGATACCGGGTGTTAAGATATTAGACCACGTGTGCATCCATGTGAAATTAAAAATACATGATTATATAAAAAATAACTGATGTAAAAGTTATTTGTTTCTCAGTGGCACATGTTGTGGCGACGTTTTCGACGATACAATAGGTTTAAATCGATTTTTATTTTGATGACTACCACATGTGATATTCCTTTGAAATTTTCGTGTAGGAAGTGTTTAGATCCAAAAAAATGAATACCCAAAACCAATGATTCAGCCATTTATTCTTTCAAGGACTTGTTATTTATAAAATCTTATTTACAAACTTTAAGTATTTTAACTTTTTAAAGTAAAACACAATAAAATAAGGTTGATAACATTTAGATACAGATAATTCTTTATTATATTTTGAAAGAGAATCTTATATTATGTTCAGTAATCATTGTACCGTGCCTTAAGAGTTTGAGAAAACATGGAAAAAATGTAAACTAGATAAGCTACATCCAGATAATTTTGAACACCTGTTAAAGGTAATTCATGAGAACAATATGGATCATATAAATTATTCTTCATTTTTTCCACTCCTGATGTTTGATAATTATATTAGTAATCTTGATAAACGTATGTTTATATTATAATACAATACTAATATTGAAAGAATTCATTTATTTATAATAACACAGGCCGACAAAATTTGACCAAACTCCAGAACCTGAGACCGGACCTAGTGTACCCGAAGTATTTTATTGCGCTGAAAACGAATCCGAGCTCAGAATTTAGCCTATACGTCTGAGTTCCGAGATATTCTAACCTAAAAGTGCAAAAAATACCGTTTTTTGCTCATTTTGAGGTTACATAGCATCTTGAATAAATTTTTTTTTCCAAAACGAGGAAAAGCATCACAAAGGAGCACTCTTGTCCTTTGAAATCCATTTTTTAGATTCAAGATGGCTTTTTTTTTCATCGAGATATCATTGATTGAAGTTAAATATTTTCGCAGTTTTGTAACAACGTTGAAACAGCCTATGTAGCATATGTGAGGCTATAAGCCCAATTTATAAGTGATCGTATTCGATCGAAAAAATCTATATATGGGTTTTTGAGGTTGCTGTTAAAGAATATAAGGACAGATTTTGAAAATTCAAAACGGCGGATCCAATATGGCGGACCTAAAATTTTATAAGTGATCTCATTCGACCGAAAAAATGTGCACATGGGTTTTCGGGGTTGCTGATTACGAACATATGGTCAGATTTTGAAAAATCAAAATGGCGTTTTTGGGTGTTTTGGTGTTTTTGGGTGTTTTTGGTGTTTTTGGGGTCACTGATCACGAATACGAAGTCAGATTTTGAAACTAATAACCCCAATTACCCAACCCATAAACCCGGCGAGGCTATAACCCTATCCCGCTATATCTCAATTGCCTCACCCTTCATAGTTTGTACCTACCGAGGCAATAACCTTGGACAGCTACCTCTTAACTTCTTCAACATTCGAGTCGAAGTGTCTGCTATGTTGAATCTTTAAAAGTTTATTCTCAACGTTCTTAAGTAGCATATTACTCATCACATTCTACAAATTAATCTTTTTCATAAACGATTTTCCCGGCTATTTCAAAATTATTTTTTATGGAATCTCTCGCGTTTAGTATCAAAGGACCTTTGGAGAGATTTTCGCTTATGGCTTTCTGGGTTGTCTTCTCGTTTTAGTGACCAGCAATAGTCAGCTAACATATGTTCATCCCACCGACCTTGGTAGTGCATTTCTTGTTGATACAAATCCTGGTGAAATCTTTCGCCTATCTCTTCGCTGTACGCTCCAAGATTTTCAGGGAAATAGTCCAAGTGACATTTGAGAAAATGCAATTTGAGACTCATATTGCATTGCAATATTCGATAGTGTTCTAGCATATCAGACACAATTTTTTTATAATGAGGATCCTTCTTGTTTCCTAAAAATCCTTGCACTGTATTCTTAAAACCTAACCAAGCATTTTTTTCAATGGGCGTCATTGTTTTTATAAATTCATCATCGTTTATGAGCTTTCTAATATCAGGACCCACAAAAATACCTTCCGATACTTTTGCATCACTCAAATTAGGAAATGTAGACCTAATGTACTTAAAACAGTCACCTTCTTGATTTAACTTTTTCACAAACTGCTTTATGAGACCTAATTTGATATGCAATGGTGGTAATAATATATTGTTTCTGTCAATAAGAGATTTTTCAACCACATTGTACTCCCCAACTTTTCACTCACGTCTTTTTGGCCACTTCTCTTGTTTCCACTGCAGTTCCTGTTTTGCACGGCTATCCCAAAGGCAAAGAAAGCAAGGGTATTTAACGTTACCCGATTTCAAACCTACTATAAGGTTGATCATTTTAAAGTCACCACAAAGAAGCCAGTCGTGATCATTATACTTTATTTTTTCCAAAAGTAATTGGAAATTCATGTAAGATTCCTTGAGTACAGTAGAGTGGCCTACCGGAAGTGCAGCATATGTATTTCTATTATTCAATAGAACTGCTTTCAGGCTTTTCACTGAGGAATCTATGAAAAGACGCCAATCTTCTGGCTTATATATACCACTTTGATATAAATTCATAAGTTCTCTAATGTCATTACAAAAAACTATTCCATCTTCTTTTGAAAAAAATTTAAGAAACTCTTTTTCTCTTTTTCTGTAAACAGTAAATTTAGTACCGGATGACAGTAGGTTCCTTTCTTTAAGCCTGGAGGCAAGAAGCTCAGCTTTGTCTTTCGGTAGGTTTAGATCGCGAATAAGATCATTCAATGCATTTTGGTCAAACAATTTAGGACTTTCATCATCCGAACTAGATTCAAAAGGAAATTCTCCAGTCTCATCTGTTTCCTCGGTATCCATTGATACCGGGTCAGATTCATCGACTCTTTTCTCAGAACCTCTCATAGTT